AAAATATTCACTAGTGTTTAGCATATAGTCTATACTAACTATATGTCATTTTTATCTGATGTTACACTGCAGAGTACTGTCAAAAGTCTCACACTGAAGTTTCATCTCAATTTACTCACTGGAATAAAGACAGTTAGCCAGGGTTAGGTTAATATCTGGTATGACTGGGAAAGGGCAACATCTCTGGAGGTGTTTTCTATAATAATCATAACAGTGATAATTATCTATGCAAATCTTGGAGTGAGAAAACTCACAAGAGAAGAATGCAGGAAGATAAAAATTATGATTACTGGTAGGATGGAGTTATTGATGAGACAACTAATGAAGTATCAGGTATTATTTACAATGAATATGTTTGTTCTTGAAGTCATTAAAAGTGTGTTTTCTTAGTGGATATCAATTTTACAAAATACTGCATTTTAATGTGCTAGTTTCATACATGCATGTAAAATATTTCTTTTCTTTTTTTATATTTGAGATAGGATCTTGCTATGTAGTTCAGGCTGGCCTGGAGCTCACTATGTAGTCCAGGTTATCCTTGAACTCATGGGGATCCTCCTGCCTCAGCCTCTCAAGTGCTGGGATTACAGACATTCACCAAAGCACCCAGCTGCATGTGAAATATTTCAATCATATCCATCTCCATTCGAATCCTCATGTACACCACCTCTACTCACCCTTACTCCTTCCCTCTTGCCTAACAATACTCTTACTTTCATGTCATCCATTTTCTTTAAAACTCCACAAATTAGGAAAACCATGTGCTACTTGTCTTTCTGAGTCAGGCTCATCTTGCTTGCAATGATAAACCTCTAGTTCTATCTGTTTTCCTACAAATGACATAATTTCATTCTTTGTAAAGGCTGAATAATACTCCATTTTGTATATGCACCACATTTGCTTTATCCATTCATCTGTTGTTGGACTACTCATCCAACTCTGTCCGGGGTGAACAGGTCCCCTGAACTAGGTGCCCGCAGATGTATAAGAAAAGTAAGAAAAACATCAAACCATGAGAGCCAAAATCCTATGATCAGGTGCTAGCAGCCTCTAGGACTGACTGCCTCCTGATTACCATCTTCAGTAACCTTTTATTCAGAATCCACCAAGGAGGCAGCAGAGGAATTGGAGGATATCAACTGTTTTAGCAAGGACAATACAACTCAGTTATCATAGGAATGCGATCTGATCAGTAAGCCATCATGTTACCTTCCTTCAAGCATATCTCAGCTAAGCATCTAGTACTGACCCTGGGGCTTACAATGCTTATGCTAGACTTCCTCCAGAACCCAGCAATCGTGGCTTGGTCAGACATCGGGCAATACACAAAAGAGTAACTAAAGACTGTCCTTCTCCACAGTCTGTTGATGGGCACCTAGACTGGTTTCATATCTTGGCTACTGTGCATTATGTCACAATAAACATAGATGTGCAGGTATCGTTATAGCATGCTGACTTTGAGTCTTTTGGGTACATACTGATGAATGTATCAGTTCTTTTTTTTCAGGAACTTCCATAAACCTAGATGTGATTGCTACATTAATGGACACCAATGAATCACGTTTCATTGTATTACTCCCCTCTGTATTGACCCCTTCCTTAGCCATGGTACTTGATTTGGCCAGGGAAACATCAGCAACCTCGATGCAAGCAATGGTGTGATGAGTGCTTATTGTTGGAGCTGGGTCTCTTAGGTACCTGAGGTCATGCACAGAAGAATCGAGTGTGGACAACTACATGGAGAGACAGTCTTAGCCACTCTAGGCAAGGTCCAAAACAAGTGAGCCAGTTACCTCAGGGAGGCCCATCTGACCCGCTGTGGGGGCAGCTCAGTGCACTGTGACAAGAGAGACCCAAGCCAGGGCAATTGACTGACCACTCAGTTGAAGAGAATCTGGAAAATGGTAACTCACTGATGATCTCAGCAAAGCAGTTTGAGCTGACTTTATGTATTAGGTGCTAAAGAAATATTTTTTTATAAAAACTTATTCTGGGCCTGAAAGTACAGTTTTAGTGGAAAAACTCATTACTGGGAAAATATGAGTGGGCTCTAGGAGTTCAAAGACGGAGCTCCCTATTCTTATCAGGAAAAGCTTCCCAAAGTTGGGAAGAAAACAGGCTCTGCTCTGTGCACTGCATGTTTCCCACTCTGCATCCAATCACGTACTTCTTTTACTTTCTTTTCTGAAAAAGTAGGCAAAGCAATAATGAACTGTCTCAGGGACCATGTGAAGTATCTTCCTTCCATGACTCCTGAATGACAGTCCTGCCTCGTGCCTTGCAGATGTTAGACATTTAACAAATATCACTATTTGCTGACCAACACAGATGCATTTTCTGTGAATCGTACTCTTTTGTCATCGAAGAGAAATGAATGTAAACCATTATGCACAAAGGATATAAAGGTTTTATTTAGGAAATATAGCATTCTGTTTCACTAACAGAGAAAGAAAGAAAAGCTGGGTGGAGTCTTTGTTTCTTAATTGAATGTAAACCTGCTCTTGCCTCCTTGGGTCGTAATCAGCAGTAAGGAAATGAAGCTTTCGGGTTGAGGAACTGACTAGGTGCCCTTTTTTTTCAAACCTCTAAAATTATTTTTACATCAATTTTATTTGTATGCGGCTCTGAAAACTTTGTCTGCCATAAATTTCCACAGTAAAAAGGGCACCAGGAATGCTAGCTTTGCCCTTTAACATGTCAGTCTGTGTCGCCCGTTGCGGGCACTCCTCTGACGTCACAGATGAGCCCATGTTACGGGTGCCGCTTGGGACGCAGGTCACAGCCCGGAAGTCGAGGGCAGACGCCATGTTTACTCATAGGCTTGGTCTTGAATGGACAATGGGCAGTGCAAACAGAGAACAAAAAGAGATGAAGTAAATATAGCTCCAAGAAAGGATAACCTTTCTATTTTTCCAATTCTGTAACTTTTGTTTGCTCCAGGGACCGGGAGCTTTATATCACCACTCTTGCCATGGAAGCAGCTTCATTTTCCTTTTTCAGTGAACTAGAAAAAGTGTATTGTAATGCACGCTTTACTTTTGTTTCTTTTGTATTAAAATATCTGTTTTTCTTAGAAAAAAAACTGTGAAAGAGGCAAAGCAACTTCAATGAAAACATTTCCTGAAGTATCAAAAAAATAATCTTAGAGCTTTCAAATCTCCAGGACATAGCTCTCCTGGGAAGAGATGTGGAAAATTGTACTTTAGTGGTGCTTCCAAAGACTCTTTTGTTTAATTTATTGAAATATAAGTTCATTATCAATTCTGCTGATGAACTTTTTCTATTTCTTTTAAATAGGTGTGTAAAAATGTTGCATTTACTCTATAAGTATAGCCTGCATTTTGCTGGGGCTTTTGGTAGGTTGATAGATGATCTCGTGTTCGTACAATTTCCTATTTCTAGATCCTTAAAGAAGCCTCTTCTTTGAGTGCTAAAATCGCACTGAAAATGCAGAGTATAAGATCATGATTCCACCAATGTGGTCTCCTGCCACGACTGTAGTTCTTTTAAGCATGAAGAAATGTCTTGGAGGCAAGGACAATGATGATTGTTACCTGATTTTGCAGATGAGGAGCTAAAGGCACACAACAAGTAGAACAATGGGGAAAGGGAGAGTGGGTCCTGACTAGCATTCCTGGGACCTGTGTGCTTTCTTGAGGTCCTGAGTCCTAGTATTGTTACGTTTTTTTAAAACTTAGGGTTATCTCTTTTTCAGCTTTACTTAATAGCAACTGAGCAAGCTAGTCCAAAATTGATTTAAAAATAAACTCAATAAAACTTTTTCATTCCCTTTCATGTATTCATTATAAAAATCTTCTTGAAGGCACAGATAAGAGCATCATCAAAGTGATCTCAGTGTAGAAAAAAGAGAGGATGTTTACCAGTTGTCCATATGTCTTATAATTTTCTAGTAAAATGTGATCATAAGTAATTAGAAAATGTGATTTAGGATTGAAGAGATGGCACATGAACTGGCAAATTAAAATCAAGCAAAAGAGAATACTGTAAATGATTTAATAACACAGGTGACTTTTTTCAATGGAGGAACATTCAATTAGTTGTGTTGGGATGTATGATAATCAACTTGGAAAAGCAAAACCAGTATAATACCTCACAATATGTATTAAAATAGCCTAGAAATTTAAAATGTAAATATAAAAACTAAGCTAAATTAAACTAAAAGAAAACATAGGGAAGAGACTTACTGGATTATGTAAATAAATCTTTTTTTTAGCGTAACACCCAGGATAGAAATATACATAAACATTGATTACATGAAAATAAATAAATCTGTATGGTAAAATGCAACTTTAACAATATTTATAACAAATTATGAACTTGGAAAATAATGGTCAGGCATGAGAGACAATGAATTATCATTCTTTACATAGAGAAGCTATTAGGCAAATGTACAAAAGACATATATGAGCAAACTAGTAAACTAAATGCAGATGAAAACCAAAGATAATTTTTTATTTGTAAGATTGTCAAAGACTAACACTAAAAATTATGGGTACTTTTGATAATAGGAAGGCAAGAAATATTTAAAAAGAATTGAGGAAAAAGTTAAAATAGAGCTTTTGTAAATTTGGATGGTAAGAAGCTTGGTGGGAGGGGAAGCAAGGGGAAAAGAAAAGATGTGTTATGTACATATGCAAATCCCCCATAATGAATGTGATCATTATGTACTGCAAAGATGTACTAAAAAAACCTTGACTACTAGTGTAATTTAGTACTAACTTTAGACAAAAACTTGGCAGTATATCTATGCTCTGTGTGCATGTGTGTAAAAACCTGAAAAATATTAACAATAGGTGGGATATTCCAACAGTTTTCAAAACATTTTTATATTTTTAAATACTGTTAAAGTTAGCTTGACTGTGGATAATTTTTTTGTCCAAACCTATAAAACTATATTCAAAACAAGGTAATTTTATAATATTAAAAAAGTTCATTTTTAACCCAAGTATCTTTCTGCAGATGTAAGAAGCTCCAAGATAATGGCTGGAGAAAGGAATAATGCAACAATCACCAAGTTCATCCTTCTGGGGTTCTCAGATTTTCCCAAACTCAGGAGCGTTCTTTTTGTAGTATTCTTGGGGACTTATCTCTCAACGGTGGTGTGGAACCTGGGACTCATCATCCTGATTAGGACGGACCCATGGTTACACACACCCATGTACTTCTTCCTCAGCAACTTATCCTTCTTAGATTTCTGCTATGTTACCTCCACAACCCCCAAAATGCTCTCAGACTTCTTCCAGAAGCCTAAATCCATCTCCTTTATGGGGTGCACCATGCAATACTTCTTCTTCTCCAGCCTGGGTCTGTCTGAGTGTTGTCTTCTGGCGGCCATGGCATATGATCGCTATGCCGCCATTTGTAACCCCCTGCTCTATATGGCCATCATGTCCCCCACCCTCTGTGTGCAGATGGTGGTTGGAGCCTACATAACTGGATTTGTTGGCTCACTGATCCAACTCTGTGCTTTACTTCAGCTCAATTTCTGTGGGCCTAACATTGTCAACCACTTCTTTTGTGACTTGCCTCAGTTATTAGTCCTATCCTGCTCTGAAACCTTCTTCCTGCAAGTTATGAAGTTTGTGATAGCAGTGATTTTTGGTGTGATGTCTGTCTTAGTTATCACTGTCTCCTATGGCTACATTGCTGGTACCATCTTGAAGATTAGCTCGGTGGAAGGCAGGTCCAAGGCCTTCAACACCTGTGCTTCTCACCTGACGGCAGTCACCCTGTTCTTCGGATCGGGACTTTTTGTCTATATGCACCCCAGCTCTGGTCATTCTCTGGGCTACGACAAGATGGCATCAGTCTTCTATACCGTGGTGATTCCCATGCTGAATCCTTTGATTTATAGTCTGAGGAACAAGGAAATCAAAGATGCGGTGAAGAGACGTAAGAAAAAGCGAGTGTTTCCCCATTGTCACTGTTAATTAAAGGTCTGGTAGGCTGGAAACCCTGCTGACCGCGAGCTGCTAGACTCCACAAGGTAAATGTATGTAGTGTGACTCAACCCCACTGACTCTGCCAGACCTGGGAGTCACGCCATCTAATTCTAGGACTGGCTTGGCACCGTGCAGATCTTGCGGCTACTTTCAGTCTCGGCAGATGATTAAACGCTCTCACACCTATCCTCACAAAGCAGTGGACGTTTCAGTTTTTATAAAGTGGCAACCTTCAGTTCTTCAGTTTTGGGCCCTTGCACATTCTCTCCCAACTTCAGCCTGCAGCCAAGGAGAACGGGACGAAGCGCGAGGCGAGTGCTGTCTCTCGTGCATCACAGCGCAAGCTGTAGAAGGACTCCTCTGTCTCAGACTTCAAGTCTTCGGGTCCAGGGATATAGCTCAGCGGCATAGCGCCTACCTGGCAAGTGTGAAGTTGTGAGTTCAATTTCTGGTACCAAAAAAGAAAAAAAAGTCAGACTCAAGCTTTCAGTGTGCCTAGGCAAATTCCAACTCATTGCGATGGGAATGTGGAGAGAAGTGTAATTTATTTATTTTTTTTGAGGCAGAGTCTTGCTATGCAGTTCAGCCAGGCCTTGAACTCACTAGGTAGCCCAGGCTGGCCTCAAACTCATGGCGATCCTCCTGCCTCAGCCTCCCAAGTGCTGGGATTATAGGTGTGCGCCACCATCCCTGTTGAGATGTGCAATTTTAGACTTTGACTCAACCTCTCTGCCAAGGAAATATATATATAGGGACTTTGATTTATAGTGTTTCGTTCTTAGAATTTAAGCATCAATTGTTTGTAAATGAATGAACAAAGATTTCCATGGAACTATCCTTCTCTTGGAGAATGGAAAGACAAGGGAACATTTTGGACTATCATATTTCTATATATTGGAAAGTTACGTTTGGGGGGGGGATTTTTTTGTTTTTGTTTTTGTTTTTGCTTTTTGAGACAGGGTCTCACTAAGTGGCTTATGGTGGTCTTGAACTCACTATGTAGCCCAGCTGGCTTTGAACTCATGGTGATCCTCTTGCCTCAGCCTCCTCAGTGCTGGGATTGCAGGAGTGCGCTACTACACCCAGGGTGGAACACTTCTTATGACAGACTGGATAGTGGAGACACACACAGTGTTGCTAAGGAATGAAAGATGTTGCATGAAATATGTTCAGAAAATAATTTAAAATATATTCTAAGTCGGCAAGAAATGGAAGAAAATATCCAACATTCAAATGTGTATGAAGTGAAATCAAATTCTGGGGGCAAAAGCTGTTCAGAAGATGTCTTCTACTTTGGGGAATCCATGGAAATCTGGTAACACAGGCTCTATACTGTCACAAAAGCTTGTGAGTTGGGGAAAGAGGGACAAAACCTAGGGTTCCTCCAGAGTCTGACAGGAGATCAGATACACATAGGAGGTTTCAGTGAGCTATGTCTCCATGTGACAAGGAACTAAGGCGAAAATCCTGCTTCACAAGGAAAGAAATCTTGACTCTCCCAGGCTTTGCACTGGGCATCACACACCCTAATGGGGGCCCGGGTCTGAATCAGCATTAACTGCACAGTCCGTGGAATCTTTAACTGATTACTTTAAAGTACTACCAGCTTGGATGTGCCCACAAGTCCATACAGTCAGAACCACAGGCAAATCCTTTCCAAAGGTATTGAAGAAATTATTTAAACCCCATCTCAAAAAAAAGTCTCCCAAAAAACTTTATAGAGAAAAGTGGGTTACACTAATCTCACAGTACACGAGGAACCAAGACCTTATGGGTAAAGACCTCTAGAAGGTATGTTAATGTCAAGCTCTTGAAGACTTCAGGAAAAACAACGATCTCAATTGAAACATGCAACAGAGGGTAATAATATGTTAAAAAGAAGAGAAATTGAAAATACAGTAAGAGAACAAGGGAGTGGAGTTTATTGAGGATTTCTACATCTGGCAATAGGGCAGTGTGACAGTCAATCATTTCTGTCAACCCACTGGATTGAGAGGCACTAGGAATTAGTGCAGTGGTCCGGGGTGTGTCTGTGGGGTATTTCCAAGGTGGCAGGACCCACCCTTGGTTGTAGATGGTACCGTCCCACATGTTTCTAGTCCGGATTAATGAAAAGAGAGGGAAGTCAGCCTGCATTTGGGCCTTGACTTTGGGTGAGCTCCTGCCACGGCTCGTGGACATCAAACTCAAGACCCTGCAGGGCCTGGAGACCCTCCAGACCCTTCTGGGCCTTCAGACTGGCGCTGTGTCCTTGTGCCTCTGGCTCTGAGGCGTCCAGCTCCTGGGAGCCTCTGGCTCTCCAGTGTACAGACAGCCTCTAGGGACTCTCCTGCCTTGGAAATCGTCTTTCAACTTTATGAAAATGAGGAACAAGCTAAGACCCAGATGAAGTAGAACCGGGCCACATTGTGTAGAATTTCATCCTAATGAAATGTTCAGAATAGGCAGCTCTGTAGAGACCGGGACACATACCAACACGCAGAGACTGTAAACACGTACTGCGAACATGTGCAAATGAGAACATAATTCAGTAAGGTCAGTGCTCCAATAAGGGTGGAAGTAGAACAACAACAACAAAGTGGACTTGCCTCGCAGAGAGAAACGGAGCAGCTGTGCATGGGTGTGGGGTTTCTTTGACAAAAAGTTTTAAAATTAGACGATGGTAATGGTTTCAAAACTATGTGAATATTCTGAAAGTTACTGAATGACACACTTTCCACGGAAGAATTTTATAATATGTAAACTTACCCTAAAAAATGGAGGGAAGGAAGGGAGGACAGAAGAGGAAGGCAGGAAAAGGGGGAGGGACAGGGTCTGAATTTATATAGGATCAAAGGTGATTTTTTAGGAAGGCATCATTTTTGAGGCAGCTAACATTTATTGGGGACATGGTAATGAAAGGGAAAAACAAGTAGTCTGAGGAAATTAAAAATCTGAAGACTTTAAAAATCAAATCAAATCAAGTAGTCTTTGCTGCATCCTATTTCTCCCCACTCTGTTCTAACTAAATCGTTATGTACAAAAGAAACTGCTCTTCCCTTTCCCAACAGAAGAGGGCGCAGTGCCAGACCTGAGGCTGGGGGAGATCCCCGCCTGGCCACCCCTGCCAGGGTTTCTGAGCGGTTCCACCTGCTGTGCTGCGCTGTGGTCCAGATGTTACCATTCACGGACCAGACACATCTTGGCACAGAATGAAGCCAAAGGAGGAAGGAAGGAGAGAGGGGCGGCTCTTCTGTTTAGGCAGAAACAGTCATTGCCCTGTGCATCTAGGACATCTTGACTTGTGCCTATTTGGGCTGTGGGCTGTCAGGAACATGTCACGCGGCTGTGGAGACCCAATCAGCCGGTGACAGCAAAGAGGCATGGATCAGCGTCTTCTGTCTCTGTCCTGGTAAGGCAGCACAATGGGAAACCCCGTTAGCCTTCTTTAACCAGCAGAGGCGGGTCCACACCAAGATTCTTCAGGGGCCACAAAGGTAGCGATGGCGATGACGCAGCCCGCCTTCCTGTGCGCGCAACGCTTTCAGCTGGACCTCCGTGCGCGTCTCATCCTCACGACAGCTCGCCTGTTGCCCCTCATGTAGGGGGCAAAAGGAGCAGACACTGAGTCCCCCACCCTTGCTGAAGGTGACCTCACAGAAGAGACACAGATGCGGTGGACAGGTGCCTGCGTCACCCAAGGGGGCCGAATGCTATCTCCCCTCGCACAGTGGTGCAAGTAGGATTTTTTTCTTTGACTATTATCCCCTTCTGTGATTCTCCCTGTAGGTATCGTGCCATGCGTGTCTGAGAGAGGTTGAATGAACCCACAGCTGCTCTGTCCCCAGAAGTTTCCCTTGTCCTGAGGGTTTACAAACTGTGAGTCCCTTTAACTTTAGATAAATATTTAAAAATGCCAACTGTAAGAAAAATTCCTCCTTGAAGTAAGTGACAAGCTCTTGCCAATCAAGTTTCAACCTACTACTTCCCATCAACAAAAGTGACGTAGAAATGATTTTGCTTCCTATTTTACAAGACGGAAAAAAAAGGTGCTGTACTGCTTGAGTTGGCATTAGACAGCTACTGCCCGGTTCAGGAGGAGCACCGAAGACTTTTGACCTACACGGCAGGGGTGACACATGTCCATATTTTGTTTTGATTTTATAGATAAAAAAGAACAATAAAAATGATGCAGAATTTCAAAACAAGATGATAGGAAATTAACAATGGTTGTTATATTGCATATTGTTATCTTCAAAGTAGTTGCTGAGATTACCAGATATAGGTGTGCAAAGTTATCAAACAATATAAGCATGAACTGTTCCTTTCAATGAACTAATAGAAATTAGTAGTACAGTTATCTAGGCTATCTTGTGTGTGT